ATTCTTTTCCGAAAAATTAGTTTTTCGAGAAATTTGGTTTCCGAGAATTTTTTTCGTTCTGAGAATTCTTTATCCGAGAATTTTTTTTTTACCTTGTTTAATTGTTAAATGTCTGCATTTCGATAATTTCGCGATTCTTTTTCCGAAAATGTCCCTCTACACTTTCACTGCGTAGGTCTGCAAATTCCGTTCTTTTTTTCAACAAAAAAAAAAAAACCGGCATTTTTTTCTTTTCGCAACCTACTCCTACTTTGAGTTGTAAAGGTTCTGCTTTGCTGATTCTCTGCAGTTCGAGCACCGGAGGTTCACAATTGTGTTCATCACCTTCGGCACTCAGTGGGATTGGACAGTCTTTTTTTCGAATTTTGATTTATTTCTTCTTAATCAAAAATTATTATTTTTCTTTTTGATTAGGAAGCTGTTCAATTTGGGATCTGTTCGATCCTTCCCACCTGTCTGCTGCCTACCTGTTCTTTCCCCTCCAGTCCGAATACTGGGCCAGTCTATCTGATCGGCCCATAGGTGACTCTTCAGAGTGCGGGCATGATAGTGCATGCCACCACTCACTCGATCACAGACCAAGGCCATGGACCGTAAGGCGGGAGAATCCCTCCTGGCCTATGAGGAACGCCTGGCTGCTTTCATCCAGGAGGCCAACGATAGGGCCGCCGCCGCGGCCAAGGAACATAGTCAGATTGAGCAAGAAGAGGGTGGAAATGGCATCTGCCAACGGGGCCCCGGAGACTGACAAAGGGCTGTCCGCCGTTGCGCAGATCTCCCACGACCTCGTGGCCACCTGCGCTCTGCAGCAGGAGGAAATCCTTCACCTGCAGCAGACAGTGGACCAGATGCTCRCACGGCTGCAGGCGTTGGAGAAACAGCCAGCTGCTGTAGCAGCCGCAGGGCCTTCCAACCTTACCACCCGGGTGCAAGTTTTGGAGGATGACGTCAGCAATATCAAGCGTGTGCATCAGGACTTCAGGACGTTGCAGCAAGCAACGAACTTGCAGTTGGAGACGCAGGTCCAGGCTGCTGCCACCGTGACGCTCGCCGCCGCATCCTCCCGGCGCCCACCCAAACTGGATGACATTCCAGTTTTCTGCGATCAGTCCAAGACAAAACCGATCCCGTGGTGGCGCCAGTTTACTCTCAGGCTCGACATGCACCATGTCCCGAACAACGATCGACATCCGTGCTTGTACCACCGATCTGGTGGTGCATGTCAAGCATGGCTGGACAACATCTTGACCAGCCACGGCGTAGCAGTGTCGGAACTGCACACCAAGCTCACTTGGCAGGAGTTGACTGACGCCTGGCACAAGTGATTCCAAGTGGAGCCGCCCGACCTGCAAGCGATGGACAAGCTCAACAAGCTCCATGAGAACACGTTGCTCAGTCAGGACTGGATTACCGAGTTCCAAAGACTCGCCTCCACACCTGACCTGCCGCTCGCATTCCGCGCCATCAAGCACTTGTTTATCATGCGCTCTTTTCCAGCTCTGCAAAACACGCTGACACAGATTGCAGAGACACTCGCACATCTGACAAGCTTTTCAGCAAAGCGTCACGGATCATTGTCACGAATATAGAAGCCCGCAACGCCGGCCGATCTTCCGCGACGACGAGCAGCACCCAGCCCAAGCCAAAGGTGGCTTGCATTACTTCTACCGAGGCGGCAACACCAAACGAGGGTGAAGTGTTGGCAGCTGCCGGGATGGTGGCCGGCCCCGCAACAATCACGGTCGCGACAAGACGAAGACTCAGTCCACCTCTACACCGAGCACCGGATCAGCAGCCGACGAACCTTGGGCGCAATACGGACTCTCGGCGAATTGCTATCGCACGCGACTCAAGTACCGTTATTGCCTTTGGTGCAACAGCACCATCCACGATGCTGCGCATTGCCCCAACAAGGGGAAACCCCGTTCGGGAAAGTAGGCGCCACCGAGGGTGACTCGACACCTGCCTCGACGCCATCGGAAGCGGTTGTGCGCACGACCGCCCTTTCTTCCGAGGCATATGCGGATGTCGGGAGTCTTCCACTTTCGTTCGAAGACTTCGCTGCCCGGATCGTTCCTTCACTAGATGCTTCTCAAGGACAAGATACATGTGCGGCTTTCTCACCGTCCGAAGGTTCTTCCGCCATTTTGTCTTCATCAAGGGATTCGGCAAGCGTGTTCAACGAGGAGGCTTTGGACCCGCTCACGCCCGAGGATTTCGCTTGGATTCCTCTCTCGACGACGGGCAACCTTCTGGGCCCGCAAAGCGCAGCACTATGCGCCCTCTTACACGAGTATCTTTCCTTCCATGCACCACCAACTTCGCCGACGGTAGACGAAGTCGCGGCGGGGGACATGCTTGGCTATGTTGCCAAGGTGGCCCGCGAGGTTGTCTTGCAACGGTACGAAGAAAACAACGCACCGTTGCTCTACGTTCGCATTTAGATTGGGCAAGCGGCCTGCAACGCTTTGCTAGATTGCGGCGCAACTCGCAACTTCATCAGCCAGTCCTTCATGACTCGGGCTGGCCTTGGCGCACAAGTACGGAGGAAGTCACATCCGACGACGGTCGCTCTTGCCGACGGTAAGACGAAACAACTTTTAGACCGTTACATCTCGGCTGTCCCGGTGTACTTCGCACGGCACGCATGTGAACCCGTCACTTTTTACGTGTTGGACACCGACTTCGATGTCATTTTGGGGATGCCTTGGCTTTCTAGCGCGGACCACACGGTCAATTTCCATCGACGCACGCTCACGATTCGTGATGCAACTGGCGCCGAGGTCCCGTGTACTATTCCTCCTCCTCGCTCTTCCATTCGGTGCCAAGTCGTGAGTGCCAAATCTTTTCGAGACACATGCCGTTCCAAGCATGTCGAAGAGATTGGCATCGCTTTTCTTCGAACCGTCCCAACGACCGACTCATCGTCCACGAATGTGTCTTCCGACCCCCGTGTGACCCGGTTGTTAGACGAGTTCKCGGATGTTTTTGAGACACCCTCCGGTATAGTGCCGGACCGGCCTATCTCTCACGAGATCATACTTGAGGCCGGCTCCGTGCCACCAAAGGGATGCATTTATCGCATGTCCGAGGAGGAGCTCACGGTTCTCCGTGCGCAACTCGACGATCTACTTGACAAGGGTTGGATCCGCCCTAGCAGCTCACCTTACGGTGCGCCCGTTCTCTTCGTTCGGAAGA